GCAATTTAGGAGGCGTCATCTATCGGATGAAAAAATCAAACAGATGTTTAGTCAGGTGAATATTAAAGATCGTATTACTCTGTGCGCAAAAGGAGATGGGAGTTTCTCCTGGTGTCCTGGCCAATAATCCTCCAGATCATTTGATTTATACACATCGTGGTTATTGAATGTGACATTGCTGTGTGCAAAGTGGCTGCATGTTCATATACAAACACAGTCACTACACTTCGAAGCATTTAACGCTTCAACCTCATGAGCGCCACATCAAATATAAGGATCAATATAAGTGGGGGTCTTTTTTTTAAAAAAAAAGCTTTAAATGGACAAACTCTGTAACACTCTCCGGATCAGAGGTGAGACATTTTATGACGACAACAGAAGTGCCAACATATACTTCCACTCACGGACATGATCTGGAGTGAGGCGGGGCGAGGGCGGGGAAAGAAAGATAATAATAGGAAATACAAGTTAATGGAAAAAGTTAACCGTGTTGGGGGAAAAAAATATTTTCTTTCTTTTTGGAGGGATTATTCCCCCAGAAAGCGACTACCAACCGGGTTCCAACTTACTGCTAGGTAAACGGAGTAAGGAAACTTGCCTAAGGTTTCGCCCGATTGGGAATCAAACGTAGGTCCTCTCGCTTGAAAACGTCAAGGGTACCCATTCCTGATCACTGACCGTTGCTCGAGGGAGCACTCGTGCCTGACTGTGAATATTTTGCTCACCGTTGAGACTCACGTACGGATCACTGTGGGGTTTTTTTTTTTTTTTTTTGGCAGAGCATCAACAGTAACCATCCCGTCAGTCAAAGAAACAGAGGTCCGTCAGGGAGACGCAGAAGGAAGAATTGTGAGAAAAGGCCCGTTTGTTTTCAGGCAGGTTCTGAGCCAAGACGATTCCCAAAAAAGTGTACACGTACTTGGATGATGTGATCGAGTGGGTTTCGTATGACATCCAACACCAGGAGTGTAAACAGCAACACCAGTCAATGCAGCCACTCTTTACCTCTATTTCCCCCCCCGTTCCCCCCACCACCACCACCTCGATACTTCCCCCATTGCGCCAACAGGTGTGTATTTCTGTTGCAAGTTTCAGCTGCTATTGATAAATTCACGCAAGATCCATACACGATCTCTATCATTGCCGAACACGGTGGTAGCTATTTGCCTACTCTCCACCCGTGAACGCTTCCACTTCGTTTTGACGTGCTGACGAGTTTTACAAAAATTCAAAAGCAAACACTGCGGAAACCCATCGCTGTGCTTAAATAAATGTATCCAAACTAGATTGTGCGAGCAGCGGAAGATGATTAGCAGTTTCTTTTCACCCTCCCTCCCAACGAAAACCTTACCAAAGAAACCCACCAGCTCCCATGTTTAGTGCGTTCCTTGCGAGGCACGTGTCTAGAAACCTCTCCCTTTACCACTGGCGGTATCTCTCAATAACTTTGGGTTATTTTGTTCTACGTTTCAGAAGCTACTGCTGGGAGCAAACGTTTGAGCAAGACATCCTCTGATCAAAATCCGCCTACAATTTATTATAGACTCCATAACCGTTTCACCTTTATATGTATATTATTTTAAAAAAAAGTAATTTCTTCCCCTTCTCCCACATGAGTCTCTGCATGCAAGGTACCAGAGGACAAGGAAACCCACCCAGCCTGTGATCACTTTCGTCCGGTTACTAGAAAATACTTGCTGCCTGAGGTGGAAGGTTATAAACTTATAACTCATTCTTTGAACTCATCCCAGGCTGACACTCCAGCGCAGTGCTGGGTGTGTGCTACACTGCAGTAGACGCCGTCCGTCAGGTGAGACGTTTTAAAAGCGAGGTCCCATCTGCCTGTTCGGGTGGATGTTAAAACGATCCCGTGGCAGAATTGAGAAGAGAAAGGAGTTTATCCTGGTGTCCTGGCCAATAATCCCCCAGATACAATCGGTCAATCATTTCAAAGCTGCGAAGTATTATTAGATGTCCTCCTGATGTGAAAGGTGCTACATCGAAACCAAGGATTATTATATTTATTATTAATAATAATAGGAGAAAGTCTGTACTGGTTACCACATCTAGACAACCGCACAAAATAGTTGGTTGGTTCAATAGCAAAATTATGGATGCTAGAAATACAAAATGAAGCACAGAGACACTGGCAAGTTACAAGTTATTGAGCATCAGAAAGAGGCCTTGGGTGTGACCCATCGGTATAATCTAAAGCAGAAACCAGTACTTCAATCTTTAATTGATAAGGTATATACAGTAAATGTTTAGTTTCCGTAGCTATAAATATAACAAATATACAGGATGTAAACTGTGAATCATGATTACTGTACACAGGGATTTCTTTCAGTTTTGTTGAATGTGATGGGGAAGAGCAAGGCAGAAACACGAAACACTAGACACCGTCATCAATGGATCTTAAAATCAGAAGGCATATCAAAGTGGCTTTTGTAAATAGGTTGCAGTTCATACCGCCTCTGAGAAGCAGACGGGATATAATGAAAAAAATAATCTTCCAACAGTCTCCAATTCGGAAGTGTGCAAAAAGGAACCTGATTCACACTTATACTGAGACACACACACACACACACTGAATTCAACAAAAGGCCGTTTAGCAAAAGCAGCAAAAACAAGTAACCTCACTCCAATTTGAATCTTGTCGAACTTTTCTCTTTGAGTTGGATTGAAGCTGATTTAGCAATCCTGCCTCATCCTCACATAATCAGATTTCTGGCTTGGAAGCCAAGACAAATTTGCTCAAAATGGCTCTTCCGCATTTGTTATTTAAACAAAAAGCTGTGGCGCTGAACCAGGAAATGGTGTGAAGTTCCTCCAATCACCTCCCCCACAATCCATCCTCCACGACTGTGAACATCTAAAGCAGATGCATATGCGAATTGTCCATATTCTTATGTCCCAGACATGGCATTAGTCCCAAAGCTCCCCACAGACAAACCATCTTATTGATGGTACAAGAAAATCCATCAATCACCTCTCTACTGCAGGATTAGGTACTCATCCTAAACCAGCACCGACTCTCCCCCACTATCCATTTTCAGATTGAACAATTATACCTTATTTAAGGATGAAATATCTCCCATCTTTTCCACCCACTAACCTCATTAATTCAGACTGCTCTCAACTAACACTCAGCTCTGGAAATTTCAGCCCATTTGGAGTTTTCATAGAGACTGAGCTCAGCTGGCGTGCAGTTATTTTTAATCAGGGACATCCTAAACATGTCTGACCAATTAAGATTATCTTCCTCTCTCTCGCTCTCTATTGGTTATAGCACCATTTTATTGCAGAGTCTCTCTCTCCTCCGATTAATAATAATAATCCACCTTATCATGTCATTGTGACTTCTCAAAGCGCTTCACAGAATATATTGTAAAGTGGATTGACTGTGTATTTTGTAGGCAAAAACACGGCAGCCAATTGCTGCCAATTAAGCCCATCATCAGAAAACTATCCCTCCTGGGTGATTTCCACACTGGCTTCGTTGTAGCCAAGTGAAATTATTTTGTTTTGCCCCAACAATGTAGTCAATTCACCTTACAGTATATTCTGCCACTTGATAAGGCACTATATCAAATGCAAGGATTATATTGTAAATGCATCATCAAATTGGTCTTGTGCCACCCTTACTGCAGTGACTATGTGGAATGACTGCTCTGGGAGACAGACATTGGGAGGTGAATAGAGCAACTTCACATCATTTCCTGGTTCAGTGCCATAGTGATTTCCAACAGGATTCTTCAATGAGGCTCTAAGTGGGGACGTTTCCCCCATAACTGACCCAGAGGAACTCTCCTCCAAAAGTAGACCATGTCAGAGCAGAGTTCCTATGGACATGCACAAGAGTGTTGGGCTTTGCACAATGGACTCAAATGATCTCTTCCAGTTCTGCACATTCCTAGATTTTCCCGAAGCTGAACTGAAAACACCCAACTTATTTGACATAGCTTTTATTGGGAACATTTTATTTATTTTTTTTCTGGGCTGAATCGAAACTGAGGAACACATTCAAGTTTCCATTCAGTCCTTGTTGCCCGCAGTGCATAACGGTGAACGATTTACCAGTGTACATTGGCTCGTGTCAGGTTAACTTAAAATGTTAAATCGTTCGGAGAGAACGGAATCCAGAGAAACGGCTCACTTTTGTTCAGCTAAAGAAAATGGGAGTTGTCCTTTTCAAAATCAGTTTTTTTTACACCCAAACTGAAATTATCCCTTCACTTCAAATATTTTGCAAAAAACACAGGATGATGATGATGGACGCTGGGAGCAAGCAGCACACCAAGGTTTGTGGATGCTGTCGTTCCTTTAGAGTCAGGCATTTTGAACGGAGGGGGGGGGGGGGGGGGGGGGGCGGGAGGGTAGGAAACAAAGCTATTTGTGACAAGGTCCGTTCATTTGTCAACATCGAAGGTTTGCAGCTCAAGGCTGTGGCAGATGTTGTTGCGATGGGTCATTTGCGCAAGCGAGGAAAAGTCTCAAACAGTCTGCCGAGATTGCCAGTTTATACTCTCGATTTGCCCGACTTCTGAGAAAACAATGAGCTTCTTTTGGTGAAACCCAAGCACTCGATGCCCAGGGTGGAGTGGCTTCCGGGAAACTTGCTTTTTAAACACACGCCTGAAATACTGATCGCAGTGATTGGCAAAAGCACCAATTATCCAAGTTCAACATAACTCACACATGGATACAGAACACAAACCAAATGCATTTCAGAACTAAAATGTCCTCTTTAGTAACAGTTATACCCTGGGCTTATCACGTGTGATGGGTTCACAGATCAGGTCCCACCTCAGGCTTCTAAGTAAGTGTCACTGTTAGCGACATCTGATGCAAAGTACATGTACAAAACCGGCATCGATTAACTGAGTGGATGCATTCAGTCTATTCAGTCATGTATGTACACAGCGACTTTTTTTGTTGTTGAAAATACTGGGGTGCATCGAACAACAATAATTTAGTCGAACATTAACATTCAATCCGAATACTGCAAGATTTTCACATCAACTTTATATATTTTTTAAAAAAATGTTTAAACACCATTTATACAGGCACTTTCAATACCTGTGCACGACACCACATGAGTTATGACATCACGGTATTCTTAATTGACATCACGTTGCCCTTATTGGCACTCAACCTTCACAGCTCATTTGGATTTGCATTGACCTGTTCCCCAAACTTTCCCCCACTTCCTGCAGATATGAACTTGGGACTGCTATACCATAGACTGCCTCCAATACCTCACCCCAAATGGTCATAGTTGACGCGTGAGCCTCATCCATGAGAGTTGGAAGGCTATTAAGATTGGGGGGGGGGGGCAGTCACCAAAACCCAATCTGTCCTCACATTAAATCCAGCGATTTTTTTTTCGGGGGGGGAAAGGGGGAAAAAAACCCACTGTACATTAGGATTGCAATCCTGTGTGATTTTCACCCTCTCCCTAGCCTTGTTGCGTTGAAGCCAACACTAACAGCCTCACTGCTCTCTCAATCGAGCTAGAGACCTTTGGGATCCTTGGCTTGTGTCTACACTGGCTAGTGCGTTCACCAACCCAAAGTCTTTTCACAATGAAAAAAAATGACATCAATCCCAATTTGTAGGTATAGATGTGTTTCATGCAGATGTATAGTTGTTAGCCAACTTGGGGCTATTGTTCTGCGTCCACTCAAGGTATCCTAAGAAAAGGTGAGCTCACCTCTATTCAGTAGAGAACTACCAACTGCAGCAAGTCTATGGGAAAGTCTAGCTTTCTGAAAAATGCATCCATAACTACCCACAATCCGACACTTTCTCCCTCCCCTCTCATCAGCAATCTCCTGGGGAGAAAAAAATAGTGATGTAACATTAGAAGATTGTAACATTAGAACATTTGTTCTCTACAGTTTGCAGCATAAATGCAGATTGTTGCTTGCAATGCTGATTACTTGCACAACCGCTCCACTGAACGGAGTGGCTCATGTCTAAGACGAGATATACAGTACACAATGAGTCCTGGCAATCACAATGTCAGTTCGAGGTGCAACGACGCCAAGAATCAGGCATGCATTTTAGTTTAGGCAGCACGAGCACAACTAAAGGTACTGAAAACAAAACTCACAAAGCCCAGCTCCACCTTCACACGTGTAAAAGATCCTCCGTTAGCTCCGGTCACTGACAAGAAAAATATTCCAATTGCCAAGACTCCCACGTAATAATCCCTGAACATTCAACCTCTAGAGCACTGAGAGCCGCTGACACAGTTCTGTACTTACATTTCATCTGAATAACCACTGAACCATGGTATTGCCAATTCTTAAGACAATCTAAAGGAAGTATTTATTGACGGCTCTCACAAAATTAGATTATTACATTAAAATTTATATTTTCTTCCATCACTATCTGCATCCAAACTCAGTCCAAGTTTAAAGCCTCCCCATCTCAGGATCCAAGGGCCCCATGTGTAATGAGTGTGAGCTGTCCGCTCAAACATTCTCCCAACGAATGTGCGATCGCACTATAAAACTGTCCTCGTTTTGGCATTGATTGCTATCTCACCGGAGGCTGATGTGCAGAACATTACGGTGCTTCAGTAGGGGTTCAGCCTGTTGGGGGAGAGTAAAGGAAGCCTTGTCCTGCACCTATCTGTGCTACACCTGACCCAAGAGTGCTTGATGCTGATCTTGAATCTCTGAAAAGCAAAAGTGTTCCATTTTCTCAGCACTAACATATCGCTCGCCAGAAGGAAACAAAAATTCCCCTCAGATCACTTCCCCAGCCCTCAAAAAGTTTTGCATCTTCCGAGTTCTTAAGCATGTGTGTATGGGGTGAGAATGTCGCGCTTAGAGCACTCCCATGCACCTTCTGTTGGTTCGGAATAGCACCAATGGAAGCCTGGTAATATGTGTTCTGTCCTTTGACCAGGGCTTATGTACAGTCCTACCCCAGGGTAACAAGGACATGCAGAGGAGATTATACTGACTTGACTGTTGCTTGTATTTTGGTATTCGATGGCAATTCCTAAAGAGAGGTTTTTTTTTTTTGAAATGCGGAAGGTAAAAAAAAATGCAATGGAAGAGGGGGGGTGGGGTAAAAAAAAAAAAGCAGGAATCATCGTAAAAGTTTCTAGAGAAAATAAAGCAATCGGATAGTGACTGTGGCAATCTTATGGCCTGCGGAGACATTCAAAACAGTCTTTGACCCTGACAGCTACAGTACAGCATCAATTACGATTAAATGGTCATCATTTTGTTGGGAGAAGGAAGAATCCAATTTTGCTCTTTTTATAACTGCGTTTATCACAATCAAAGCCACAGAATCCAATCCCACCACAGAAAAAAAAGAGATTCCAATCAATTCCAATCGACTATTGTAACAATGAAAATATACATTTTTATTTTGAAATCACCAGCGAGCATACTAGCTACCCTAAATAAGTCAAACAGGTATAAGTCAGCACATAGTAATAGGCTATTTAAAAAAAAGGTAAGTCTATATAGCAAGATAGGGTGCCTGCAGTATTCCCCCAATAATACAACGTGCTAATTAGAATAATCAAGATCACCACTACCTAGTAATTACTTAACACTATCCTTCAGTTTTAAGCCACAAACACTAGGATTTTTAATATCTGAGTAAGAACCAAAGTCCTAAACAGGTTGTATTCTTCCATACCATGCCACAATAAAAAGGGGATGTAGAACCTGTACGTCCATTTTTATTCACGAGGAGAAAAAACAAAACAAAAAAAAAACATGCAGAGCAAATAATGTGTATAGTTTTCTTCTGCCTAATAACCTTTCGTTGTGCTTCGATTTTACTCAAACTTTTACTGGTTTCCTCTCAACAATAAACTTTTTTTTTTGCCAGTTGAAATCACTGCTCTGCAAAATGGTGCGTTCTTTTTCCTCTCCCTCCGTCTTTTTCCGTTTGGGTTCAACATGTAAGAGTTAGGTAGGTATACCAAGGTTATGTGATAACATGCATTTTGAGCCACACAGCTACAGTGGAATGTGGGATAAGATGCACCTCAGGTTGAGAAATGACCAAGAAATCTAGGGTGATAAAATACCAATGCTATCCATAAAAACCTGGTTTTAGTAATAAAAAAAACTTGCTTTTTTTAAATATGAATATTATAGTCTGCTTTCAATGGTTAGGAAATAATATAGTCTCTCTGAAAGAGGGTGATAAGCTACTATAATTCCATATCCTGAGCCTCATCCTCGGAGAAATCAGACATGGAGCTTTCTGATGAACTTTCACCGGCACCCTCCTCTTGTTCCTTTAGTGCCTCCTCTGTTGCGTATTTCTGGATGTATTCTATGAAGGAGGAAAGGAAAAAAAAAATAGCGGTAAGAATGGAGCAGAGACACCAAGTGAATGCAGAAAGTTCAGGAGTTGGGGAGGGCAGCAGTTTTTAGGAAGGAACATAGGAACAGGAGTAGGCCATTCAGCCCCTCAAACCTGTTTCACCATTCTATTAGACTGTGACTGATCTGTACCTCAACTCCAATACAAAACTCTGCCGCCCGCATTCTTACCCGCACCAAACTCCGCTCCCCGATTACCCCAGTCCTTGCCAGACTGCACTGGCTGTCTGTCCCAGAGAGGATCGACTTCAAGATCCTCACCCTTGTCTTCAAATCCCTCCACTCCTCTGCACCCCCCTACCTCTCTGACCTCCTCTCTCCTCTCTCCTCACAATAGTGCCCGTTGCCTTCGTTCCTCCGGGTCTGACCTCCTCCTCTTCCCCGGAGTCCTCCGCTCCACCCTCAGCAGCCGTGCTTTCAGCCACTATTCCCCGTAGCTCTGGAACTCTCTTCCTCACTCCCTTCGCCTCGCCCCCTCTCTTCCTATTTTCAGGTCTCGGCTGAAGACCTTTCTTTTCGACCGTGCCTTTGGTCACCTTCCTCCCCCTCCCCCGGCTCAGCCCCAGGATCCATCACTGTGAAGCGCTCTGTGATGCCGCCCAGCGTGGAGGACGCTATATAAATCCAAGTTGTTGCTGTTGTTACCCGCCTTTGCCTCATATCCCTTGATGCCCTGACCTAACAATATCTATCCACTTCAGTCTTGAAAATTTTAATGGATCCAGTATCTAGTGTTTTGGGGGAGAGGGTTCCAGATTTCCACTATCTTTTGTCTGTAAAAATTCCTGATTTCACTCCTAAATTTTAAGATGATGCCTCCGTGTTCTGGATTTCTCCCACTAGAGGAAATAGTTTCTCTGTGGCTACCCTATCAAATACCTTATCACTTCATTTTGGACCATCATTACACAACTATTTTGGATAATCATAACTAACGCAGGACATAGTCTATTAATATACATTTGAAATAAACCTCAGTTACACATTGTACATGCACATCAGCCTCCAGCAAAGAACTGAACAGAGCATGAGCTTCATTTGTATTTCTTCTATCAAGTACCAGATGCTTACACATCTTGGAATTCAGATGACAGATAAAAGTATGATCACTTCAATGGAACGTTGACCTATAATGCACTACTAGATTAGAGTTGATTTAATAAAGCTTGTTTCTAGGCTGCATCGTTACTGAAACATGCAAAACACTTTTACAATACAATATTATATTTGTATAGCGCCTTTCACGTCGGGAAGACATCCCAAAGCGCTTTTGGTTCCGTCAAGCACCTTTTATTTTCTGTTTGTATTCCTCTGGTCGATGGAGATACATGGCTGCAGCGTCACCATTCAGGGGGTCGATTGGGTTTGGGTAGGCCAGCAGCTGGGGCAAGAAAGACTCGAATATGTTGGTGAGATCTGCATACAAACACACAAGATTAGCGTTACTCCCACAGTGCAGCCAATACAAGTGAATTCACGCTATGGTGAAACACATAGCGGAGACGCCCTGTATTACTGTGACTTTCTGCAAGCTTTAGATTCTATAACTGGCCCAATGTGAGACTTCTGAAACCCTCAGTTTCTAATTTTATAACTGTCTGAGCTGAACAGGAGATTAAAGGCAAAATCAAAGTGTGCCTTATATTCTGGTTGGTATGTGTTTTAATCAAGTCTCCTATTTCACATAGTAAATTCTGGCAGCCTTGACAAAGCTACACTCAGGGAAAGGTTCGCAATTGATCCTTGTAAATCCAGCGGCTCCCTGGGGCTGTGTTGATTCTACAGGAAAGCAAGACTTGGATGTGAAGCCATCTCCAACACCCTCACAGGCAGACGGTTCCAACTGAACGAGTATTGTACGACAGCGACTTAAAGAGTAAACGTAGACCATTTTTGATTATTGATTTAGAGTCAATAATTGGCCAGGAGTGAATGCCAGGATTAATGAATGCAGGTCTACAGTTCGAACAATAGTGTTTTCCTACAACAGGATTCAGTTCTTTTGACACGACAGGTGTCCTGGATAAGTATAAAACACTTCACTGCATTGGTGTAAGATGATCACCGCAGACTGACAGTTAGACTTGTAATTCAAAGAATGTAGGCAAAGGTCAAAAACTTCGGGAAGTAGTGGTGGATTCCATGTGTTACAAAACTGTTCTGAACAACAGGCCAGCACTGGCAGGTTTCACAGACTTGGCTTCTTATAGTTTGCCGATCAGAACACAAAGCTGCCTTTCTTTAGCAATTTGAAAGGCCTTTTGAAAAGAGGCTCAATTAAAATGCGTTCAGGCCAGTTCCAGCCAGGACCACAGCCCAACCGAGGGATCATCTTCAGAGAAACAGGATTCCTGGGTTACTAAGAACTGCCAAGTGCTTCATGTAGAAGGGCAACTTTTCTGGGTTACCTAGATTAAAGCTAGGGCTATTCCACGTGAGCTGCTCGAGTCATTTTCATGGTTGAAACATCCCTCTCCCTAGAAAACCTCCACCCTATGTTATAAAACACAACATTCAACATCACAAATGATCACTGCGTTAAATTAAGTTATGCTGTTTTTCTGAACTGTATGCAATCCCTACATTTTACAGTAAATCCTCAATCAAACGAGTCTGTCCAGATCTATGATCATCAAAATGCCCTTCATATTGACCACAGTAGTTCAGCATTATCAGGAAATTAAAATTATAATCCATATGAATAGCAATTCTTCTGTTAAAAAGATCGACAGCTCCAATGAGCACAAACTCATCGTCTGTTTTCCTTTGAGAACATTTTAAAGCCCGGATTGAGCCCGAACAATCCATAAAAACGTGCCATAGAAACAAAGACCACAGCCACCGTGTTACACAACGCAAGCGGCATCAGTGAAGATCATTGTGTGAAAACAACAATCGCTTTCTGACACTGAATAATCCCTTCCCGGTTTGCAAGTCGTTTCTCGCCGATATCAGTTGAGGGCTGTACAGTCCTGTCCGTCAGCCATTCCTTTTAGCTTTCCCTTTGTCACACATGGTACCGTAACAGGATAGGACGCACGGGAAGCATTCACTTGACACTGTTGCAGCCCCAGTCATGCTCTGCTCATGCTGTCACGGTATGAATGAGCCAATCTCAATCAACATACAGCCGTGGTTTGTTCCACCCTTGCCTCCTTCAAGGCCCGTCTCAAGACTCTCCTCGTCGACCGCACCTTTGATCACCCTCCAACCCCCACCCTCCCTGCCCTCCACCCCTCGAATCCCAAGCCCCAGCTCGGGTCCAAGCTCCTGACTGTCCAGCAGCTTGGGACGCCCTCCCGACGTGAAATAGCTGTACGAATGTAATTTGTTGTTGGTCCTAAAATGGGTTTGTAGTGGACAGATCTTACCTCCAGGTGTGAAGGAACAAATGTTAACTTGAAAAAGACATAAGAACTCACCGTAAAGAGCTGTCCACGTTTGGTTAATTACATCTAGACACACAGTTCCTGACCTGCAATTAGAAATAAAAATTGGTTACAAAATATAAATTATCTAATATTAATTAGCTACTAATTTAAAGCTAGTTACATAGAACCAGAAAATTTACAGGAAAGAACTAGACTATTTAGCCTTTTAAATGCACTGTGTCTTCAGTGACTTGTAGTAATGAGTTCCACAGTTTAATAACTTTCTAAATAAGAACATTCTAATCTCCCCCTTCTTCTGATGTTAACCTCAATTTCTGAACTCTAGTTACTGATTTGCCGACCAGCAAAATCTTTATTTACTCTATAAAATCCATTCGTAATTTTATAACCTCGATTAGATTCTCTCTCCCCCACCCCACACACTTTTAGAAAAAGGCCCGACTTTTCAAGTCTCCACACAACTACAAAAAAATACATTTGTAAAGTGCCTTTCACGTCGGAAGGACTCCCCAAGGCGCTGAATAATAATGATCCTTGCATTTGATGTAGCGCTTTATCACGGCTTCGAGATATCTCAAAGTGCTTCACAGAATATATTGTAAAGTGAATCGACTGTATATTTTGTGGACGAAACGTGGCAGCCAATCGCGCACAGCAGTGCCCCACAAACAGTCGTGGATTGAAGTGACCAATTCATTATTATTATCACTATGTTGAAACCTCTCACCCTTAGTCTATCTCCGCAGTACCCATTTCAAAGCTGATGTACTTTACAAAAAATGTACAGCAATGTACAGACTGTGGCGCTCCAGTGCTAGACACAAACCCTGCAAGGCAGGCAGCTCTCTCAAACATGTTTTGTGATATGCCTAAGCTAGCCAGATTTCCAATCTTACGCATCCCTTGTATGTAGGAACCCAAATGGTACTGATCATCTCCCCAAAGCTGGATCTGTTTCATCTCGACATGGAGAATCAGACAATATTTGCCTCGCTAGGTTTTATTCCGACTACAGCTTTCATTTCATTCTGGGGTTTAGAAAAACTTTTATGAGACGCGATTGTTTCACGTGGTCTGTTTGCCAATAGAAAACATTGCAGAAAATATTCTTGCCTTGGCTAATCTTTGCTTACAAAAAAGGGACTGGGTGTCGTGAGCAGATAGATAACCGGTTCTGTGGTCAACATGACACACTGAGAACGCAGCCACCGTGTTACGTAATAGAAGCAGCATCAGTGAAGATCATCGTGTGAAAACGACAAATCATGTTATAATAATGTTATACAAAAGAGTCCACAGCAGGCAGACAGAACTGCAACCTTCAATGTCGTCAACTACTGTAATCACTATAATGACTGTAATCATAGAATCATACAGCACAGAAGGAAGCCATTCGGCCCATCGTGCCTGTGCCAGCTCTTTGAAAGAGATATCCAACTAGTCCAACTCCCCTGTTCATACCCCATAGTTCTGCAATTTTTTCCTTTTCAAGTACTTATCCGGTTCCCTTTTGAAACCTACTAGCGAATCTGCTTCCACCACCCTTTCAGGCGGTGCATTCCAGATGGTAACAACTCCCTGGGTTTTAAAAGAAAATTCTCCTCGTCCCCTCTCTGATTCTTTTGCCAATTATCTTAAATCTGTGTCCTCTGGTTACCGGCTCTCCCGCCAGAGGAAACAAGTTCCTCCTTATTTACTCTATCAAATTCCCTCATAGGTGTGAAAGGACAGATTACAAAATTAAAAAAAATACCCATTTCTTGTTATTTTTGTTCCTATTTTATGATCCTATTAGGCAATTGCCATTTTGCCTCATCTGTGCTACACTAACCAGCTGCTCGAAGTTATGAGGCAAATTGCTGTCTCTCCGTCTCAAGCTGTGCTCCGAGTCTCACCTTCCTACCCGAACAACCCAATGCCAAGATTCTGAACTTTCCATGTAGGAAAACACTGACTAGACCTCCAGTCACCGACAGAACCCACCCTTGTGCAGCAAACTAAACTAGCAGGTGCCATCTGGCTCCTCATCCCAGTGTTTAAGAATTGGCATTAAAAGCCAATCGCTTTGTCTTATCAGACACAGCATTTTGAAGCATGTTTTGCTAACACAATGGAAAAGAAAGAAATTTACCTCCCCCTTTTCCTATATCCATGCATTTAGCCCTTTAGATATTGGCCTAGTTCCTTTTTTGAAACCTAGTCAGGATTCTGCCGAAACAACCACTCCCGACAAACATTCCATATCCCTCTGTCCGTGAAAAAAAAATCTCTTTTAACCACCCCATTTGCTTGTTTGCTAACTATCTTAAATTGATGCCCTCTTGTGACTGACTCACCAGCTAGTAGAAACAAATTGTCCCTATTGACTATCAAAACCCCTCATAAACTGAATCGATCTTCATTCCATTAGGACATTCAGTCCATTAAAATTGTTCAAAAAAAACCACCAGTTTATTAAGCATTGGCACTTTTTTTTAAAATCCCATTGCCCTGTTATTGTGCGATACCCATCAGAATTAAAATAATAATCCTTGCATTTGATATAGTGCCTTATTACGTCTTTAATACATGTCAAAGTGCTTCACGGAATGTACTGTAAAGTGAATTGACTATATATAGTGCTGCAAATGGGATCTAGCTAGTACACTGAGTCCACTATAACACTGTCACCTCAGGAGACCTGCAGGCTGGTGAACTGCCTTCATAAGCTCAGAATTACATTTGCGTTTCAATAAATTATTTTTGTCAAACTGAAATCCAAGCTGAGTACTGATCTCTGCAGTACTGCCAATTACCTTCCCCGCCCTCACTGAATGCATCCTATCATGGATATTTCTGCCGATGTCTTTATGCAGTCCAATATTCTATTCTGTGGCTTTTATTTTTCTTCAAATCCTCAAGACGTGCTGTTATGATAATCCTTGTGTTTGATATGGCGCCTTATCACGTCGTTGAGACATCCCAAAGCACTTCACAGAATATATTGTAAAAAGTGGATTGATTGCGTGTATTGTGGGCAAAATTTGTATTTTTTTTAATTAAATTTTGTTTTCTTAGAATGACGTACAAAATATTTTCCCCGTAGGTTTGTGGTTCGGTTGTGTTGGGGAGATTAAGTAATAAACTGTGTTTAGGTCTTATCAGCTACCTTATCCAGTTACAGGATGCACTGGTAATATAATACCAACTTCAATCTACGTATCAATGTTGCTTCACCAAGATCTCTTCCGATGTATGAATTACGTCACTCACTCAACAGGTTTCCTAATCAGGTATAGAGAGCTTTTCTGCTTCCTAACCTAGTGCGATAGAAACAAATCATTACTTACGCTTCATCAATATTCGGATGGAAAATTTTATTCATGAATCCTGAAAAACAAAATAGCAGCCACATTAAATCTTTCACAAAGAAACAGCAACATCGAAAAGGTTGAAAGTCACTTAGAAGCAGAAATTGTTAACACAGAATGAGGTGGACATTTGACCCACCAAGTCTGTGTTATTGGTATCTATGGTACAAAATAATCTAGTTATTAATCCCATTTTCCAGCTCTTTCTCATTATCAACTAGTTTACTGTTTGTCCAGTTAATTTCTGAATGATTTCATTCAGGCTTTTAACTTCTGTTCTTTCGAATGAGAGATGATCAAGCACATTCCACAAGATAAAATCATCCCTAGTTACTGTGCAGCTTCACCACTACACCTGTGTCCACACATAGTCTAATAGTATTGGTTACTGTTAAATTCTCATAAGGAAGCCAAATTTGAAAGTAAATATTAGTCAGATTTTTTTGTACTAGACGACAATCTGACTTAGTTGACCTTTGTCTTCAAGGCATACCCATACACCTCCACAGGTGCCAAGATAGACATGCACACACAGAGATACACAACTATTCTTTCTTGTATATATGTAGGCCTGTCTTGGATCTCTTGGGAGTCTCCTGGGTTTCTTACACACTGCAATAAAACTAATGGCTGCACTCCTACTTACCTGCTGCATGGAAACACTCAAGCCCACAAGTCTTTGTCACATGTCAAATGTTTTAAACGTCAACAAAAAAGATTAGGAATTCAATTATTATTTTCAAACCTATAATATAATACGATAAGAATAAGTTGGTGGTTAAAGCTATTATTCATGTCAAGTTCTTCAGCTGTCATTTCCCGAATCAAGTTCAAGTAGTGTACGTACATGAGCAAAACCTCGGGACTGAATTAAAGCCATAAACTCCCTGCCAGCTGTTCATTAATCTGCAAAGTTGCACTGAGGGAGGAATCTGTTCTGAGGCAGGTGGCAGTGCTGTAATCGTGCAACGAGGCAAAATAATGCAGGCACAAGGGGCAAAAGCAGATCAGGATCCAGATGAAAGCACAGCACACGGCGTCATTTGACACATAATACAGTGCAATAGGCCCATTTGGATGATTTCCAGTTAAGAAACCATTAAAGACATTTTCAAAGAACATTTTTGTACACTTAAAAACATTAACATTCCTTTCTCTTTGGAAGTAGAATTCATGTGGTCAAGGGCCTTGATGAAAACCAGATTTCTCACACCGCATGCTCCATCCTTTTAACACCCTGATCCAGTCAACGTTTGCATTCTGTTTGTTAGCTTAAAAAAAATCTTTCGCGTCATGATCAAGAAGCAAATTCACTTAAAATTTTGTAATAATAATAATCATTGCATTTGATATAGTGCCTTATCACATCATTGAGACGTTTCAAAGTGCTTCACAGAATATATTGTAAAGTGGATTGACTGGGTATTTTGTGGTTAGTTAGCACTCAACTAACTAGTGACAATCCTCTGGGGTGGTGGGGGAGAGAGAAATAACCAGGCTGTCCTTGGAGCTGAGCTGGTTCTGAGGTGACGTGCTTGATAATAGAATACTTGATTGAAGCTAACTCGTTGCAATGAGTCTTGGCAATCCATTATTTGAGCCAGACGGGTCCACAGTACTTCAGGCCCAGCCCAGCCACACAGGCCCATTCGTAGCACTTGAAAGGGGCTGCAAATTCTTCCCGCTCCCATTAACCCTGCAAGCCAAAACTTTAATGGGTAGTTATCCTGGCGGGACATGCAGTGGGAGGCTTGCCAGACAGTAATTGGGTTCCACTGCGCAGATTACAACCCGTGCAAAACATTTGGCCAAATGACAGGCCAGTATGGCAAAGCTAAAACTGGCGAAATAATGAGTTTTCAAACTTTTTAAAAGCAGTTCTATAAGACACTGCGCATTTACAGACAAATCCTATCGCGACTGACATTACATTTGTACTCCGCAGCATCTGACTGATCGTCATCAGTTCACTTGACAAGCCAATAAATTGTGATGAAGGAGACTAACTATTGCTGCTTTTATACTGGGCTACTGGTTACACCAGGAGCGATGCTCAATACCACTGGAGTGATGATACTCACAAAATGCCTCAGCCTTTATACTCAAAACTCTTCAGCCTTTTAGTCAGTGCATGCAGACACATGAATTTTGGATTTGTAAGTAATTTCACATTATTTTGAACACTTCTAAATAATTATGTTAGGACACTGCAGACATATTTTAGGTTTATGCAGATAATGTGTTTTTCCTTAGAATCTCAGTGAAATTTCCAAACTGGGCTCCAGTGGGCTTTCAATATCCTGTTTCAGAATGGGGGAGGAGGTTACAAGATCAGAGAGATTTGGATCAAGGAGGTATTTTGTCTCAAGGCTCATTTGATCTCATCCTATGCTTGGATCACAGATTTAAGCAGTTTTCCTTTATATAGATTCAGTATCTGGGTCTCAAGCTCCTTTCTTTACAACTCATTTTAACTCATCTTATATGGTTTGGCCAAGCTAAGCATCGATAAAGTGGCCCTTTTCCACTTCATGGTTCTCCCCCCACTACCCCTAGTTTCTCTTTCAACTTCCCCAATATTTACCACATGGCACGTAAATGAAAAATGCAAATGAATGTCAAGTCTTGTACATCTGACAATGAATGAGGATAATATAGTAGTCTTGCTTTTCAATTTGGTGACTATTCATACCGCCTTCCTGATTATCCATCATAATTGAAGTAAATATAGAAAATTAAATGGTTAGGTAGTTTCCAAAATCCAAATGCGGCAAAATTTGAATCGATTTGCATTCAGTTAAACCGTTCAATCTCTATTTCAATGTAGAGCATACAATTCTTGATCTATATCACACAAAGTCGATCGGCTCATTTGTGAAGTAGTCCTCCCCAAATGCTTACAAGTACAAACTCTCAAACCCCAAATGTGCCTTGTGATGGGACTATTTAGTTCATTGCAGCTGAAGCTAAAGCCAGTTAGACCACCCTGATCTAGACTAACTGGGTAGGGCTGGAAATGAATTCAGATGAAGGAGAATTGAGTTTGATAACATGTTGGTGTTCTGTTTATTCTTTCGTAGAATTAAGGAATCAAAATGTTAATTATATTCATAACTCAAATAAGATACACAAGAAGACCAGAAGAGGTTTGCAAATTCAGGAGTTAATGCAATGGTCCTTTTGGGAGAGAAGAGCAATGTCTCAGCTGCAAACCATGTTACGTTTCTCAGTAAACCCCATTTGGAAATAAAACAATAGTGTTCACATCTTGCAGGGTTTGTTGAGTCACAATTCAGAACATTCGACCAATTGGCTGCCGCGTTTCGTCCACAAATATAAAGTCAATTCACTTTAGCGTGTTCTGTGAAGAGCTTTGAGACGTCTTGAAGATGTGAAAAGGACTATATCAAATGCAAGGATTATTATTATATATATTTTATTCCTGGCCAACAAATCCCCCAAATAAAATTGGTCACTCACTCCATGGCTGTTTATGGGACAATGCTATTTGCAAATTGGCTGCAGCGTGTTGCTCACAAAATATAGTCACTAAACTTTACAGTATATCCTGTGAAGCACTTTGTGAAGTCTCGATGATGTGGTAATGGACCATATCAAATGCAAGGATTATTAATCAAACTGGACATTACATTTGCAGAAGGTCACAGCCACTAGCCATTTGGATATACCAATGCACAAGATAATGAAAATAAGCAGAACCAACCTATGGAAGGAGATTTGAATGGGTATTTGTCTGGAAGGTCCACTCTAACTTTCCACACACCACCTTCGTAAGGAGCTAGAGAGAGAAAAAAAAGTGAAATTAGCATTTGAATTAATGTTGACATGTGCAGACTGGTTTTATTTCAGCAGATCATCTCCAAAACACAAGAGTTTACTCACCAACTAAGAGAACCAGTAAAGGATGTTAAGTTCCAAGTAGTTCAGAACCAATCTGCCTATTCTCAGTTCCCTGATGCAGTGCAAGCAGATGCATTCTTGTTATTTGAGAACCGATTGAGAAGGTCNTTTTTACTTTCAATCCTCAACTTCCACCTGCTGGCGGTGCAGTTGAGTCACAGTTCACTCTTTAGTGAGGCGGTGGCACATCTTGCACAGATCATGAAATGCGACCCAAGACTTAGCTGGGATAAAATAACCTTAGATCACATTGCATTTCTCCCAGAAGACCTGAATGGGATCACTTGCATGGTATCCTCTAATCTGCGTTGCTGCTGCAATAAGAGCTTGTCGCGCTCAGTTGTGTACGTGAACCGATTTTGTGCACTCACAAAGAGGTGAAGAGGCTGAACAAATCAAAATGCCATAGATTTAGAGTTTGCATGGAAGTAATTGCTGAGGCAACACACTACTGAAACAACAACTTGCATTTATACAGCGGCCTTCACGAGGGGTGGCGCCTGAGCGCTTAACAGTGGCGGAAGCCCAACGCCGAACCGGTGGGGATGGGGGAACAGAGGAGGTGACCATAAGCACAGTCGAAGAGGAAGGTCTTCAGTTGTGATCTAAAAGAGGGGAAGGAGAGGGGGCATGGTGGAGGGAGAGAGTTCCAAAGCTTTGAGGCGTAGTGGCTGAAATCGCATTAGCATCAGATGATGTCCCAAGATTATTCCCAATCATCTTAAACCTCGTCTCCCACTTTCAATGAATACATTTTGGGCTTCTTCGCAACACATCATTCAAGGCCATGCATTTTTAAGAGCAACGTTTACATTTCATCCGTAATATTTAAGAGAAGGCATTGGGCCACTTTCTAAACAACAACAGTACATTTGTACAGCTCCTTTCATGTCGGGAGGACGTCCCAACTAGACCTACTGGTCCAACAAGGACTCACGGGTCAGGGACGTTTCTGCACCTTTAGTATAGCAAACAATACCTGCAATCTACAAAAGCACTTTTGGGGACACGCTTCATCTTTTATTTCCACACTAGTTGTTCATGCTGCTCATGGGGGTGAACAGAACAGTGGGAAATGGCCTACTATGTAATCTACAGCATCTTAAAATTGGAACGGAACTTGCCTACTTTAGATCTACAACATCCAGACAGTTAAATATATTTGATTCTGATTTGATTCTTTGGATAGGCATATCTAAATTGAGTAGACTTTTAATAGAGTCCTATTAAAGGGCGCTATATAAATGAAAGTTGCTGTTGTTGTAGCCCTGGTGCTGGACGCAGGGAGATCACATTACACGGCAACACAAATCGTTTCTGCACTCAGGCTCGTCAACCCAAATTGAAATTAGTCGAGTCTGCTTAATACTATACACTGTTGGACTAGACTAATTTTTACTAACAACAGAGGATCTACCCTAATACACTTGCAAACACTTGTTCTGAATTTCTTTACAATTTCAAGGATAAGAAAAAAACGTAAGAAGTTAAATATTTTACTTTAATTTCACTGAAAAGTTTTTTTAAAAAAAAAATACATTTTTTTTAATGTTTTCTCTTCAAAATTGAATTACAAAAATAGTCACTATATCTCTCGATTCCAGATTTCAGCGCAACACCACTGGGTATAACAATATTCAATCATTGGGACCACATATTTACATACTATTAGACAAATTATAACATTATAAGGCTATAACAATACACAAATTTAAAATTTGTACAAAACATACCAAGCAGGGCCAGGACTGGCTGCCAGTAGTATAACATTATGCAGATTCTAACAATAGGCGACTGCAAACTCGACTAACTTCCTATTTTCCACGCCTGGCAAAGTTAAACCTCTCACTTTACAAGTCAGGCCCAAACTAGTCATCATTGAATCATTCAATTAATTTCTTCTCATTGGATATTTCTTTGGAACAAAGCAGATCAGATTAGAAACAGTAGGAAAGTTAGTGCAAAAATAGTTTGTTGCTAATCCAGGAAGGATCTACAAAGAATTTCCAATTCTCATTGGAGCTTGGAAGCCTGATATTTAAATTAAATGTCAGAAGCTTAAATAAGCTACAATTTAGTGATACCGTGTTAAGTTAAAATAAACTCAAAAATAATTGATCCCTAAATTTCCAATGCCACAATTTAGAATCAGGTCGTCAGTTTATCCCAGGCTGTATTAGCGCACATTATTAACCCCTGTTATTAAAGAAAAATATGAAATTGCTGAAAATGCTAAAGGTGAGATTGCAGGAAAAATTTCAATCATAAAACTCTGTTAAAAGTAATCCTGGGGAGATTGCATATCGCTTAGTCACTGGGTACAGGGAATCATCTTACTCAGCTCCTGTTAACCCTGCAAGCCAAAGCTCTAACGGGTAGGGTGGATCCAGCTGGACAAGCAGTGGGAAAGTTTGGCAGGGAGTGATATCAATGGCAAGCTATGGTGTTTTAGCTGGTTAGACGCCAGCAGTTACCCCAACACACACACACACACTCTGGGATCCCTAAGCATCAGCTCTTGCCAACCTGCACCTAATACTTTCGGAATTGGATGCGTCCCTCCAGGGAGAGAGTTCGCATTCCATTCCAGCAATCAATCTCTGGGATTTCCATGTGTAGGTGGGATGCATACAATTCTCAGCTTGTTTTGGACATTCTTAAGCACGGTCATAGGTTTCCACATGTGTTAAGACATCCGACTGACTAAAAACAAAAACGCAGCAAATGACTTCCTTCCTCTTTTCAGTGTTGCCCCATTTTACAGAGGACTTTGAGAATAGCCCATTGAAATCATTAAAGTAAGCAGTGCTGGACAGAGTTGTACTCAATAATAAAATAGCAGTAACCCAGCCAGGACAAACAAGCTCAGTGAAAAACCCAGAACAACCGTAGGCTTGGGCTATATGATCACTAAGTGATTCTTGCGGGAACCCATCAAGACTTTGAGGAGGAAGGTGCCTTTGCCAGTCATTGATTTGCCCTAAATGTAGCCGTTAGCGAATCACTATAACTTCTGCTCGTAAACAGTACTCAAAGTGTATTTAGGTAAACCGATAGATTAGAACTTTTAAGAGACTATTTAAACACTATGTTTGGGGGTGTCTCCTCACATCCGCTTTAGTTGCGCTTGCGCAGACTTGCTTCAGCTCCTGGGAGAGAGAGAGAAAAAACATGAATTCGGCTTTGAATTGCCCGACTTCTAGAAACACTACGACTCAGATCATCACTTTGGGCTACTTTTCCAGGTTTGACCTTCTGTTGCCGATTCCCATGACCCTCTTTTTTTTAAGAATCTTTCTTCCATTACGTCAGTCAGGTGCCTGCAGCTACATACAGCACTGCACTCGACAGCAATACCACTGGCGTATGAGCAAACGGCACACAAGTTACCCATGTCCTTTTATGCTCCAATTTCACATCTGTCCAGTAGTGTCAACTTGGGAGCAGATGCAGCACATTTTAAAAACAATCTCGTCAGTGCCCTACTATCGTGGAAGCAGTTCAAAAATAGCTGGTGTCGTCACAGGAAAAAAAAACCTAATTAGTTTCAATTCAATCCAACTTCTCTTTGTCAGATAACATGGCAAGGAACAGCAGTCTGCTGTTTAATAGAAGCTTAATTACAATAATCTCCAGTTAGAGCATCAGACAAGGATTTAAGATTCCAAAGCAAAACTGTGACGTGTTCTCAAAGATGAAGTTAGTTTGATGTGCACCACAAAGAAGCCTTGCATCCATTTCACATCTTCTGGCCTCAAATGGAGTGATTTTTATGGTGCTTTACTGCTGCATCATTTTCCAGCTTCAGGAAAAAAAAGTGAACGCAAGTAAGGACTTCAATCACGATCAAACATCTGGAATTCCATGCACGATTTCTTGAGTGTCAATTTGTGGTTGCAAGATAGATAACAAAAGTCACGTTGCTATTCACAACCGTGAACTGAAACCAGGCAAACCAGTATCATTTCACAACAAAACATTACCCCATGTTAAGTCGTGGCCAACTTCCCTTACAATAATCTAATCAAAACACAGACAAAGGATTTGGGAATAAGGTCATTTTAGTAGACATTTGGTACACATTTATTTTCAAATCAAAAGGAATGTCAAAATTATACGTTTAAGATTAGTTTCCTTCCGAGGACTGTGGACACCAGAGAACAACACAGCATCAATAGTATAGAAAGTTTTTTAAAAAAAAGTTTATCTACTTACTGCCTTGTGGTCCGTAAAACTTCACTACGAATTCATTAAGCCCCCCCAATATGGTAACTTCATGTTTGCTTTCGATACTGGAAGAGGGGTCAAGGAAAGCAATGCAATATATAGTTTTTTTTTAAAATAACATTGACAGTTAGTTGTCCAAGGCCTGCAAATGAACTCTTTAAAAATACAACATGATATATTAAATTTCAAATAGTTATCCAGATTAATGAATAGCACAGAATAAATGCAACGCAAGTGTTGAAAGAGCTCTTTAACACAACACAGCGAAGGAAATGCCTGAAAGTCTACCAATTACTGAAAAAGAAAGCAATGTTATGGTTTCAGGCGTGTGAACCTACAACCGGAAAATAAATTCAGTGCATGCTCTTTTAAAAATAGGTACGTCGTAACCCATGTAGTAATGAAACTAAATGGCAGCACAGAAGCCACAGGTGAACAGGGAGAAACTATTTCCACTAGTAGAGGAGTTAATGACTAGGAAACAGATTTAAGATAGCCACAAGAAAAGCTTAGGAGATTTTTTTCCCCCACAGAGCTGCTGGGATGTGGAATGGCCAGGCAAGTAAAGAGTTAGAGGCAAAATCCATTGTGGGGTTTAAGAGGCAAGTAGATGGGTTTATAAAAGTTAGAGGCTTAAAAGGGTATAGGGATAAGGCAGACAGTGGGATTGAAAGTGGATCTTGCTCTGAGAGCTGGTGCAGAATTGATAGGCCGAATGGCCTCCTCCTGCGCTGTAAATTTCTATGATTTATGAAGAGGCCACAGTGACAATTGTATCATCGCCTTCTCCTATTATGACAATTGGGATTTGCCAAAGAAGTCCATTAGGAAAAGTCTAAATCAGACAAAATACATGCAAAGGAAGGGTATAGAGGACAGAGGGAAAGAGCAAGGAATTGGATCTAACAAACATTGACCCAAAAGAAAGGACTGCATTTCCCATGTTGTACATTCCAATGTTCTATGTTTGTGCTGTTCAAGTCAATTTGGGGGAAACAAATGTCACATTTCATTGGCTGAGGTCAATAGGACTACTCAGTCAGCCTGACAAGAGGTAAACTGAAACAGTACCTGAAATCTCACAAACTAGTTATAATTGACCAAAATTACCTGTAACGTGCAAGTGAATCTTGCGGCTCAGTGAATTGTAGGCAGTGTGTTAGGCCATGTCATTTTCAATGTAAAGGGTGATCAAAAAGGCTTATATGTTTTTTTCAGATAGTAGGGTAGATAAAAAAATATCATCATTTATTTAAAACTTCATTAAGTTTTAAAGAAATTGAGATCATAATGGTATCACGACTTTTTGGTCACCCTGTATTTTGAGAACTACAATCACCAAGAATAATCTTCACAAAAGAGATGATGAATTTCAAACCAATTCTCAACAAGACTGTTAGCCTCGTGGTTAACTGCCCGTTGAGCATTTCTGTCCAGTGCATTCAAGGTCACCACAAAAAAACAGAGCTCTAAATATTCACAGAATAGTTTAAATAAGCATCAGAACTTTAAGTATAAAAATAACTGGCTGGCACGCATCTGTGTGCAAACCACAAGCCCGCTTTACAAACGCTTTTTTCCCCCCAACCACCAACTAGTAGAAAAGGCCTTGAAGACAGGAACGTCTTTTGTGTCCTAGTTTAATGCTTTCAGAACTACAGTTTGCACAGAAACAAATCAATGTGCCAACATTCCAATATAAAATCATGCCACTCATGCCGTGGTCACAACTACAGGAATTTAATTTAACCCAATGCCAACAGAGCATCTCCTGGTACATAGGAATAAAATGTGTACACAGTGCAATTTTTCCTTCCCTGTTTGGCTCTCCTTCCCCCCCCATCCCTTAAGAAAGAAGATGTATATTAATATGCAGAACTCAACGAAAACTTCTGAGATCTTATCTGAATCAACACTAAACTGAACAATTCAACACTTTTTCCTGCCTTGAGAGTTTAATTGTAATAATGACCCTTGCATTTGGAATAGCGCCTTTCACGTCGGAAGGACATCCCAAAGTGCTTTAAGGGATTTACCATAAAGTGGAGTGACTATTTGTGGGTGAATGCGGCAGTCAATTTTCACACAGCAATGTCCCAAGAAAAGCAATGAAGTGACTGACCAATTTTCTCTACCGTGGTCACTAATACAGGAATTAAATCTCATCCACAAACAGCATGAAGTGACTGACCAATTTTATCCGGTGGTGTGTTGGCGAGGTCACTGGGAGAAACTCCCTTCTCTTTTCCAATAGTGCCATGGGATCTTTAACATCCACCTGAACAGGCGGGGCTTGACATCACAACCTTTTGATTCAGAGGCGAGAGTACTACCACCAAGCCAGACTGACTCACTAATTTCCTTGGTTTTAATAAACTACCATTTACTATCACAGACATGCCACAAGACCATCGTACAAAAGTCTACAAACATCTTTTGCAGTAACACAGAAGCCAAACATTTATTTTTATTCGTGATAATAATAATAATAATAATAATCCTTGCATTTGATATAGCGCTTTTCACGTCGGGAGGACGTCCCAAAGCGCTTCACAGAACACACTGTAAAGTGAATTGACTGAATATTTGTTGTGATACTTTTTAATGTGGGTCCCAAGCACAGCAACGCAACAGAACTTGCTGTATTGCCTTGATCTTGGAGAACCACTTCCTTTATGGTTCACCAATTCTGCCCGCATCTCTCACTGCTGCATAAAAAGGCGCCCTTTAAATTGCAGGGTGGTTTCTGCAACAGATGAATGCACTATTCACGTGGATACTCGTCACGTACAAAGCAGCTGCATGTGTGCACATTTGAAGTCCCAGAATAACTATTTTGCTGGAGTCTGTGCCTTTATCAATGACTAGGGAAGGGTATAAAGGCCAGTGAATAGTACTTTAGTGGCCACTACAGAAGTGGTAAATAAATAAATCTCAAAACTCTCATCTATTTTCGAATTCGGACACAGGCTGCAGAGTTCTGGATGATCTGCAGCTTGTGGACGGAAGAGTTGGGGAGGCCAACAAACAGGGAGTTGACGTAGTCGAGCCTCAATGTGATGAATGCGTGGATGAGGGTTTCAGTAGCCTGAGGGGTGAGGCAGTGGCAGAGCCGGGCAATGTTGCAGGGGTGGGGAAGGCAGAGCGAGTCACGGCACAGGTGTGGGGTAGAAAGGACAGTTGAGGGTAAAACCAGACGCCAAGGTTCCGGACTGCCTTCGTGCACCCGAACAAAATGACAGGACCTGGATTTAGTCTCATCCGAAGGACGGCAACTCTGACAATCTGACATCTAAGAGGAGAGCAGTTTCCAGATTCACAAACTGCTTTCAGAAGTAGAGCTGATACGTTTGAAGTAACAATCCAGGTCCTCTCGCTTGCGAGGCGAGTGCTCTAACCACTGAGCTGCAGAACCACACGAAAGTGAAACGCTTCCATTTCATGTTCAACACTTTTCAAGAGCGGGAAAACTTGAACCACTGAAATCCAAAGACACAGTGTAGTTTATCTTTCTATCAAATTACCTGTACCAGAAAAAAAACTAGCCAGTTACATCAAGATTGCAACAGAAGCTTTCTATTTTCACAGTGAAAGAAATGTTAAGACACTAGTAATGGGCTACACGCTCCACCCTCTTTTACAACGTCTTCAAATCTATAAACCTAAAAGTTATGTTGTGCAAGTTCATAAAATCTTAGCATTCCAACAATAACTACCACAAGTCAGCAGGAAGTTGCTCACTTTGGTGGATTATAGATTCTCAGCAATTCAATTCTCAAGATTAGGGATTCGGTGGAGTCCTGTAGAGTTTTGGTTAGAGCACTCGCTGGCGAACAAGAGGACCCAGGTTGAATCCTGGGAGGGCGAAACCTTAGGCCTGTTTTCTGACTCCACTCACCTCTGCTTACCTAGCAGTAATTGGGAACCCGGTTGTTAATCAATTGGGGGATTGCTTTCTGGTAATAATCCTTTTTAAAAAATTGGTTATCCGATCCACGACTGTTTGTGGGACACTCCTGTGCAATTGGCTACTGCGTTTCACCCACAAAATAGTCAATTTACTTTACAGTTTATTCTGTGAAGCGCTTTGGAATGTCTCAATGACGTGATAAGGCGCTATATTAAATGCAAGGATCATTATTATGAACGTGAACACTTTGGAACATTCAGAACATTTTTATGGCGTGAAAGGCGCCGTAAAAATGCAATTTGCTATTGTTTAGTGGAATGTTTGAAGTGTAGTTATCCTAATATAAACATAATAAAAAATTACAATAATAATGCAAGCACGAACTTAGTAATTAGTTCAAAATATCACAGAGACCTCAGCTTGCTTCTTTAGTATTCTCCAATTTGAATTTATATTTGCACATCCCTAATCATCTGGACTGAAGGTACTGCCCCAGATGACATAACCCATTCGGCTGCCCATTCAGGTCACGTTCCACCTAAAATGCAAGTTACAAGGCATAATTTCCACTGCACAGGAACCAGCGGAGTATTTGATCACAGTCTACACTTTCCAACAGATATTTATCCAGCTCCTTTTCAAAAGAATTAATCAACTGCTTTTCCTCAAGAGTGCATTCCACATATCCACCACTCTAGGGGTAATTTTTTCTAATCTCTACTCACTCGAGGCTAGTTAATTTCAGAGCAATATCTTCCAGTTCTGCGCTTAGGTGGTTTACATCTGCAGATTAATTTCTGCTTTTACATCTGCAGCATTTTTGCTCTTGACATTTTCAGGATCAGAGTTATGGCTCGGGTTTTCTCCAATTAAAGTGGAGTCCTGGAGCTCATTGGTTGGGAGCGCTCGCTTCGTAAGCGGGAAACCTGGACTTGATTCCCGGCAGGGTGAAACGTTGGGCAAGTTTCCCTACTCCACACACTGGTTTACCTCGCAGTAAGTTTGAACCCGGTTGTTAGTAGACTGGCCGATCGCTTTTCTGGGGGGAATAATTCCTTCAAAAACAAATTGTCTACTCAATCCACGACTGGTTGTGGGACGCTGCTGTGCATAATTGGCTGCCGCGTTTCGTCCACAAAATATACAGTCAATTCA